TTCCTCCAAATGCACAAAAATTTGGAAAAATGACGAGAGTGACTTTTTATATATATATATATATATATATATATATATATATATATATATATATATATATATATATAGAAATTAAAAGGGCAAACAAAAGGCACATAACTTTAGGGCATGTACCCTCTTCACCTTGCATAGTTACATATATAGTTATACATCCAAAGTCATGGGAAAGAATCCAAAAATTCTCCACCAAAAAATAAATAAATAAATAATAAAATTAAAATGAATCTTCTCAATATAATTTGTGATGACACATTAGCCACCCTTAGTGGGAAATCCACTTTAAAATTAAATAAGTGCTACATGGAAAGCAAGAAAAAAAAAAAAAAACAACACACACCATGATAATATGAAAATGAAAATCACTTGTGAATGAACCAACCATTTTATTTAATTATGGTATCTTTTTTTACATGACTAGGCCATGACCACAATGGCCTAATTAATTAATTAATTAATTAATTAAACTTATCTTATCTTCTCCTTTTTATCAAATATTTTATAATAATATACTCACATTATATTAATTAATTTCATTATATTATATTGATTGAGTGATGGTCAATACTTTGATGTGGGATCAATATAATTTAATGTGTGATTTTATTATATCTAATTAGTGTATTTTGTATGCATGCATGCATACGTGAGTTCTCACGTGTAAATCGGAAACTTTCATATATTTATTAATTGATATATCACAATTCTTTAACTCGTAAAATCAGAAATGTAACTAGAAATAGAAAGGAAAATCATGGCCAACTAAAACCTACATGGTAGGTAGGGATGGACATGGGTCAGATTTATCGATCAACCGATCCACTTTTGATCCACTTTTTTTGGCCGATAAACGATAATTAACGGGCTTATACAGCTGGGCTGGTAATTTTAACCGACTTGCGTATAAAAGGGCCGGTTTGTAGTTTTTAGTTTACGCAAAAGTCGGTTGATCGAGTAATATCGGTCAACCAATTTTTTTAATAAATTGTAATTTTTATTTTCTTAATGTTAAAATAATATATAAAAGAATTCAAAACTCAAAAATTCAAATTTATAAAACTCAGTCTACTATTTATATTTTATGATTTCTATTTTATATTTACTTATCGTAGAATTTTAATAAAAAAAATCTTAATTTTAAAGTTAAATTTTCTGCAACATAATTTCTCCCAATTAAATTTGAATATTTTCTAATATTTTTTCTAAAAGCATCTTATAGTAAAAAAACATAAAAAAAAGATAAATAAAAATCAATAAATAGATGTCCGATAATACTAATTAACCGATCCATTGTTTAACCAACAAAGTCGGTTGCCAATGCCAACTATTATCTGACCTATAATGGTCAGGCGTGTAATGGT